CACCATGATGCATCAAATCTCCCAAATTTTCTCTAAAATTTCTTTCTAAAATCTGATTTCTATCAACAAAATCATTCCATATTCGGAACAATCAAGCAATTAAAATCACCTCTAATCTTCTCTATAAATGTCAGTTGCTAAAAATAAATTTTTTTTCTAAATTTTTACAACTAATGCCAACAAATTTTTACATGTACATACAAAATTGGTCAAACAATGGGCTACCGAATTTCCTTGCCAAGAAATTTAGCGAAAAGAACTACTAATAGCCTGAGAAAAAGCTTCACGAATATCATCTATGACAGAAGCTTCCAGGGCTCTCGAAATCGGTCTCTGAATAGTATTAACAGAGTCCGTTATTGTCATACTTTAAAACTTAATAGTTTGTGTGAATATTATGGTTTTAAAAATATTACCGTTCGTTCTCAACAAAAACATGTACACACACACACACATTGTCGTTCTTATTAGACGCCATCGTTTTTATGATATTATGTCGCGACAACGTCGTTGTTTCTAGTTTCTACCAAAAGTTGTTCAAGTGGTCATGAATTAAAACGCCATTGTCGTTTCTCTGTCCTGTTATACATTATTTTTAATGATAAGTTGTCGTTTATGTTGATTTCGTTTGTAAAGATAGTGTGGCTCATATCTTGTCGACTACCTCAAAAAAAAAAAAAAAAAGTTGTCACGATGTCGTTGAGAAAACGTTTTTTTTAAAAAAAAAAAAAAAAAATAGTGTCGTTTCTATTAGCTTTTATCGTTCTAAATACCACTCTTTACTCAGAGAGGGGGGGGAAAAAAAAAAAGGAACAAAAATCACATGATTTTGAAGATATCCAAGAGGGGTTAGCTGTGTATAGTGTAAAACTAAAGACAATAAGTTAAGCAAAAGCGAATTTATTCCCAACACAGAGATGAACTGATAACAAGATTACTTGGAGTTAGATTTTGTAAGTACCATAGTTGACAACAAACTTACCGTTGAGTAAAACTAAAAAAACGTTTTATCAATCTTAAACTGAAGAAGGATCAGGAGGCAGGGGAATTTCAAGGACTCCTTCAAGCATTTGGATCACTTTCTTCATACAAGGCCTTGCCAAAGGATCCTCCTGAGTACACCATAAAGCGGTCTTCACAAACCTCTCAACCGTCTTGACATCTTTTTTCGCATCTTCATCGTTCTCCAACAACAAATCCAATCTTCCTTCTCTATATCTATCATAGGCCCAATCAGATAGTATTATCTTGTTCTCATCCTCTAAGTCAAGCTCTACATTCTTCCTACAGCAGACGATTTCGAGCAGAACGACTCCGAAGCTGTAAACATCCACCTTTGACGTTATAGCGCTCTTCTTGAACCACTCGGGGGCAACATAACCTCTGGTTCCTCTGATTCCGGTTACTGTTCGAGTTTGATCTAGCCTTAGAAGCTTAGCTAGACCAAAGTCGGAAACTCTTGCCAAGAAACTGTCGTCGAGAAGTATGTTTTGGGGCTTGATGTCGCAATGTATGATTTGAATGTTGCACTCTTCATGCAAGTAAAGCAAAGCCTTCGCCGTTCCCATTGAAATGCGCATTCTCTTCTCCCAATTCGGCTTGGAATTGGACCCGAAAAGGAATCTAGCCAACGAGCCATTGCTCATGAACTCATAAACCAGAAGTTTGTGTTGACCCTCGTTGCAGAACCCGAGTAATCGAACGAGATTCTTGTGATTTGTGCCTCTGATTGCGCTGACTTCTGTTTTGAATTCTCTCTCGCCTTCTCCTACAATTTTGTCTATGCGTTTTACAGCAACAGGCCTTTTCCCCTGGTCCAAGAACCCTTTATAAACAGTTGAAGAAGCTCCTCTACCAAGTTCTTCTTTAAACCCCTCTGTTGCTTCTTCAAGCTCTTTGTAATCGAAATTCCGCAGATTCATTTCTCCGGTTTCTGGGAATGACTTTGATATATTTGTGACTGATTGATGCCTTGATGCCTTTCTTCGTATCAACAAGAAATAAGCCAGAAGAACCGCTGAAAAAATGATCAAGTTCAATACAGCCAAGCTACCCAATACTAGTGCTCCATTAGGGGACATACCTGAATGATTTTTCTTACTCCGATTCGCTTCTAATTTGACAGGATCTTTCCCCACTTTTATGAATGATTTAATCCCCACTAGTAAAGGATCTATCCACCCATTTGTGAGAGGCTGTTTCTTCTTTGAACAAATCCCTTGTTGATAAACAGCAACGGCGCAATAGCAATCTCTCAGGCAATCTTCCTTGCATTCTTCTTCAGTTTCCTTGTGAAGGAAGTAATCAAACTGTGGCCACTCCATGTTAAGCACCTCCGTCAAGGTGAAATTCTGAGCTTCTTCTTCCGAACTGATCTCATTGCATTCATGAGGGTGAAAACTGGGTTTGCAACCACTTATTGGTACCTCATTGTCCGATTCTGAGTTCACATAGCCTGGTGTGCATTTGCATTGCGGTTTTTTGTCGTCACTCATTACACAATAGCTGTTGAATCCGCAATAAGGAGAAGCCCTCAATGGAACGTTATTGCTTCCAACCACAGACGCGAATCTTGCACAAATGTTTTGAGGTTCGGAGGAATTAGCTGCGACAAACCATGTTCGAGTCCCAACTGAAACATTGCTAATTGCCTTTGGGTAGAGGTATCTTCTGAAAACTCCATCGCTGTCCAAACTGGCTCTTTGATAGAATTCATTCGGCTCAATTGGGTCGGGTTCGATGACCGGTCCCAACCACCCATTCCCTCTCGCGAGGTAGATGGAGCCTGACTCCTTGAATATCATTTCAGAGCCGTTACCCAAATGAGTACTAAAAGTATCCCAATAAGGGAAATCCATGAGGAAGAGCACGAAATTGCCGTCATCTCGTAAGATGGCCTGGAATCTTCCTTCCGAGTAATTCGTTTCCGAACTACGAGAAACGAGGCTGTTGCCTTTCTTGAGTGCTTGATTGGGCAACAAGGTGTCTGTTGGGACGTCAAAACTCTCCCACAAATGAACCGAGTCTTTGTCTGCAAGCACAAAGTTTCCATCATCAAGCATACTTGCATAAAAAACTCTGTTTGAGGCAGAGTACTTTGCGGCCCAAATTGGCCGACCACTTGTGTCTCTCAGCACAAGTTGGCCGTCTCTGGTGAGCTCGACTTTGGATCCTTTTTCCACTGTGTTGTTTCTGTTGGCTGACCATATTACAGTTTTTTTCCGGAATTTTGTTGAACCATATTGCTAGTAGATATCCCGAGCTGCCGATCCATCGGAAGCCGAAAGCAAACTCACCGGACGGTGATGCCCAGGAAGAGTTGTTATCATCTTGAGCAGTGAGAGATGAACCTAAACTTATGTTAGAGTAAGTTTGCGCTATGGTGGAATAAGGTGGTAATAGAAGGAGAAGAAAAGAAAAATAGAATGAACACTGGAGGAGTAAAATGGACATTGTAGATGTGGGAGTAGTGAAGAAGCTGATCAAAGATTAATGCATAATATATGCTCTTCTCGAATCAAAATTCAAGCAAGACTTGGATGTGTGTATGAGCATGTGAGAAGGGAAATTAAGATGAGCAAAATGTGCAACTTTTTTCTCTCTCTCCTTTTTGAAGCTTTGTTTTATATGACCGTTTTTGTTGATTTATGAGAAAAACTATTTTTTGTTTTCTAACGTTTTTCTTGTCTGGTTGACAAGCAATAGATGGTAGATTGTCTCGTCTGCCTTGCCCTTTACACGAAGGTATCTGAAGGATAGAAGTCATAAAAGGAGAAATGTCCACAAAAGAAAAAAAGAATCAGCTTTTTGAAAAATTTTAACTCCCAATGACAGGTAACAAATTTCATATTCAGTTTAGTCTATTTTTATGGTATTTAAAAATTTAACGTCCAATAGCCGTATAAGTTATGTTCCAAACTACACATCAAAGGGTTTTCTTCAATTATTTTTTAGAAACTTTTTCTGGTGTTATCTCTTTTTTAAAAACATCAGTGTTTATTTCTTATCAACCGTCAAATTTATATTAAATTTGGTTAAAAATCTAATTAAATTAAAAAAATAATACAAATTTAACAACTGATAAATAAGAAATACCGTTATTCTATTTGGTAATCCAACCTTGTATTTTTCTTTTCTAGTAAGATGGTGGTTGTCTTCAAACTCCGTTGTCATTTTACTATTTTTGTCGTCTTATACTATTGTGGTTCCCTTCTGGGAAAGATATCATCTTTTTTTTTTGTCTGCCTTATATTTAAGGCTCGTTTAGTTCACTGATTCGAGTTTTTAATTTGGGTTAAAATGTGACTTTATGTAAGAGCTTTTTATTGTAACAAAAAAATTAAATGTAATTCTTTCTGAAAGCTTTTTATTTTAACAAAATTTAAAATTTAAATTTAAATCAGTAAAATGAATGAAACTTTAGTTGTCGTCCTATATAATGCTATTGTCCTTTCTAGGAAAGACATCATCATTTTTCCGTCTTAATGATGTTGTCGTTTTTTCCTATATTATATACGTTGTCATTTTGAGACGATCATTTGTAAGGATCTTGTCGTTTATTTGTTGTCGCTTACAGACCATGGTAGTAACTAGTATGAGAGATGCCATCATTTTGATACTTTTGAATATGTCGTCCTTTGTGCATGTATTGTCGTTTCAGTCAGTTCTTGTCGTTTATATGAATTTATGTCGTTTTGACATTATTGTCGTCTACAATATATCTTGTCCTTTTTATGTTATTGCCGTTTCCCGCTTCTAATCTTTATCCCGCCCAAAACTGCCTCCCCTAATCTGCAAACCTTAATCCTTGATTCCTTGTCAATTGCCGGCCACCTCTCTCTCTCTCTCTCCAAATTTTCCAAATTCAGAACCCTTTCCGCTTCAATGGCTGCCTCACTATCAGCCCTCCTCCTCAAATTTTTGAAAAATACTCTCTTACAGTTAGAACCCAGAGCTGAAACACTGTTCCCCATGAGGCTTGAACTTTGAATAACCAATGGGCATTATCAGAATACTTACATAACTAAGGAATGAAAAAACCGTTCTTTTGGTCTCCAAACCATCTGGCTTTGTGTTTGAACAAATGCTTGAAAGGGAAAGCCTTGAAACCGGGAAAACAAGTTCATAGCGTGCTTTTAGGTTCTGGGATTGACACAAATATCTTGTCTTTGAGTTCAAAGCTTGTGGGGATGTACGCAAGTTGTGGGGACATTAGGTCTGCAAAATCGGTTTTCGATAAAATCCATAACCCGAATGTTTTCTCCTGGAACTGGATGGTTTTCGCTTTGGCGTTTAATGGGGATTGTGAAGAGGCAATTGGGTACATTTCTTTGATGCGAGAATCAGGAGTTTTTGGCAATAAGTTCACCTTTTCGATTGCTCTTAAAGCTTGCCTTGGTTTGATGGACGTGAAGAAGGGAAAAGAGGTTCATGCTGTGGTAACTAAAATGGGCTTTGAGAGTGATGCGGCTGTGGGAAATGCCTTGATAGATATGTACTGTAAATGCGAAAGAATGTGCCATGCACGCAAGGTGTTTGATAGAATGGCTAAAAGAGATATTGCTTGTTGGACGTCCATGATTTGTGGTTATTTCAGTGCAGGCAAGGCTGAGCTAGCACTAGTCTTGTTTCAGAGGATGAAGATGGAAGGAGTCGAACTGAATAATTTCACTTGGAATGCCATGATAGTGGGGTTTGCCCGGTGCGGAGATACTACCAAAGCGTTTGCGCTAATCTCCATGATGAGACAAGAAGGATATGCTCCTGATTTGGCTACTTGGAATGCAATAATTTCGGGGTTTGCTCAAAGCCAGCATGTTGTTGAAGCTTTGGAGATGTTCCGGGACATGTTACTTTCTGGGACTAAACCGAATCAAGTGACCATCACAGGATTGCTCCCTATATGTGGGTTGACTGGTTCAATTCAAACAGGGAGGCAAATTCATGGGTTGATTTATAGGATGGGGCTTGACATTAACTCCTTTGTTGCTTCCGCTCTTGTTGATATGTACTCAAAATGTGGCAATATTGAAAATGCTTGCACCGTGTTTGACAGAGTTCGTGTGAAAAATGTTGTCTTGTGGAATGCAATGATAGGGTGCTACGGAAAACACGGTATGATTGATTCCTCATTACAGCTTTTCGAGAGAATGCACGAAGAAGGGATGCAGGCAAATGGAGTGACTTTTGTGTGTGTTCTTTCGGCTTGCAGCCATAGTGGTTTAGCAGAGAGAGGTTTAGAGATTTTCAGGTCCATGAAAGAGGGTTATGGGGTTGAGGCAAATAAAGAACATTATGCTTGTCTTGTTGATCTTTTATGTCGTTCAGGGAAGATGGAAGAAGCTTATCAAGTTGTGAAGGGCATGCCAGTGGGGATCACGGAGTCCATTGTCGGAGCTTTCTTTAATGGCTGTAAAGTCCACGGAAGAATGGATTTGGCTAAAGTGATGGCTGAGGAGATTCTGAGAATGGAGTTGAAGAGACCCGGAGGTTTTGTAACATTATCAAATATTTATGCTGTCCATGGAGATTGGGAAAAGGTTCAGACTGTAAGGAAGGTGATGAAGGAGAAGAAAGTCCACAAAAGCGCTGGTTTTAGCTGGCTTGAGAAAAGGGGCTAATTTGTTGTGGTGCGAAGAAAAGAAGGCAACACATTTGAGATTGGTAAGATAAAACCAGTTCTTTAAATCTTAAAGACACTTGTAAATAAATAAAATTTGAAACAAGAATGAAACTTTTGATTGGAACAATAGAAAAGTGTGACTTGAAGATTACCAATTGAATTGCCAACTGAATTATACTCCAAAACGACTGATTTGATTTTCATAGTTTTATTGTAGCCACTAACATATCAAACGGATACACTCAAAAAGTAATGAAGCACTTAAAGACGTAATCTTATCACTTACAAGAAAGTATACACTAAACTGACCGACTTAAGTCTCTACTAATCATTCTTCAATCTCAATAAAGACGTAATTAAAAACTTTAAAAAGGAGATGTATGCATGCTTTCTTGACCTTGTTTCACCTTCCTAGTTCCTGTTTGTAAGGCCAAAATTAGTCTCAAAACTTTCAACATTATGACGACATTAAAAATGGAGAGTCAAAAGGTGCAATCACTTTATGGAACATTGTAAAACTCCTAAGTCGATAAATTCATAGCCTAATACTTAGCCGAGTCTACTAACTTTTCTCATTTTCACCTACCTCTTAATAATTGCTTTGTTAATTAAGATGATTATAGGCGTTAATCTTTCTTAACTAATACATATATTTCTCTTTCCTCTTCTTTTCTATCTTTTTTTTTCCTTGTTTTGTTTTTGGGATGGAGTGAAAAAGAAGAAAGTTCTCATATATCTACTCCAAGTTGAAGTTCAATATACCTCAAAAGACCATACCCTGCTTGCTCTATGGTTTTTGTCCATGTATTAGGGGTTTCATGGACCACATCATGCTTTAATTTGTTTTTTTCCTTAAGACCCACAAGCACCAAATATTACCAAAATATTGATGGGTTGAGAACAGTTACACAAGATTTTGGTATATCTCTTGAAGAAACTAGAAGCAAATGGTACTAATAACATCATTGATTGTAGGACATACATAAAGTTGTGATGAACTACTTCCATTTTATTCAAGATTTTAAGAGTCGTAATCATGAGCTATATACATTAATCTTTAAGTTAATAACTATAGTCTCACACAATAACTAAAATATATAGTGCTCCAAAACCAAGATTAACAGTAATTGAATCTTTCATAAACGAGTTTTGTCTAATCCTAAGAAAAACAATGGGCTAGCAAGCAAGAAAGTCAAGAGATTTTTTTTTTTTTTTTTTTTAAAATTTTTAAACGCAACACGGTTTGAAGCCATACTTTGGACAAAGTTGTGGACTAAAAACCACTGTCATAGTCAGCTTGCTGTCATCCATTAATATGTCTTATTGGTTAGGTTACATTTTAACCCTTTTGTTATATATATATATATATATATATATATCTCCAGAGTCAGTCAAGTAAATTAGGCAAGAATAAACTCCATAATTTTTTTTTTTTACAAAAAGCAATATTTATAAAATTATAAAATATACTATGATTTATGAATTTCTGGTACATTCACAACATTTGGAATGGTTTTGGATGCATGCATGCCAACCCATCAGCATTGGGTTTTGGTTTGTGAGAAACTTTCAATTTTGTTTGTATTCAATTTTTACTGCTACTTGAAAAAAAACAAAACGGTACTTACTATATGGGAGAATAAAGAGGAACAAGGGTGAAAAGTAATAGTACCATAAAGCCATGCCTAAGCATGTAGCATATTAATATCTGAAGCAGAATATGTTACTTTTGCCATGTTTTAGCCCTCAAAAGTTCAAGGGAACAACAAGAAAAACGACTACCTACAAAATAAAATTATTTAAATGATCTTTCAATTTTTATAACTAATGACCGATCATTTTTTTAGATGATCATTTTTTATTATCATGTAGTCATTTTGCAAATAAAATATTTTAGAAAGTTATTCTATTTATAATTTAGAAAAGAAGTCTATAACAACCACAAAAAAATGAAAGTTAAAGGCAATAAAAAGCAACAACATATGTAATTGCTTTCTTAAATTTCAAACTAGTAGATAAGTATTAAGGGTGGTTGCTATGATACTTTAATTGCCTTGTTTCTTCTATTTTACGGAGATACATAACAGATGTCATCTATTTATAGTGTTATAATGATTCCTTTAATTTATTTTATGCTTTTTTTTTAAATACATTTGTATTTAAGTGATAATTTCTTTCAATGCATGTTCAATGTTTTTGAATATCTTTCTTTTCCAATTCATTTGAATCCGTATTAAATCCACATCCCCTGAAATGTCGATCTCAATTTCAATAAAAAAAGAGAGAAATGTCGACCTCAATCTATTTAAAGTTATTGTCGATTAAAGAAGGAAAAAAAAAAGAAAAGAAAAAGAAAGCCTCTATTCTCAAAGTATTTTCTTCAACAAAATGAAATGATTCTCCTTTGAAACTTTTTGTTACAAAAAAAAAAAAAAAGAAGAATCTTAACACCTCAAAATGATACAATAAATTTACAAAACAGAGTAAATTTCACTCTATACTCTGTAGCATGTTTAAATTGCAACAACACTCTTCAACCAGTATAAAGCAAGAGTATTCACTTTATGAAAATAAATTTCAAAAAAAGTTTTACTTTAAAGAAACCTAACTATTAAAAAATTTTATTTATTTATTATTTTGACATAATCCAAGTTATCTCATGTAGTGCTGGAACTTCGGGTCGGCGGGCCGCCCGAAGCCCGAATTTTTTCGG